AGGAGGGTGGGGTGTAGGGATTGGGTTACCAGAGGCTGATGGGGTGGGCTGTCACCCAATCCCTCCCCAGCTAGTCCCCCCCCCCCCCCCCATCTCCCTTACCCACCTGCTTCCCCCCACCTCTGGCTGGCAGCCTCCTGCTCTCTAAGGCCCTCCACCCCCACTCCACCCAAGCTAGAAAATAAATGGTCAAGGGTATTTGTCATGCTAAGGCCAGCCCAGTATATGAGAGAAAGAGAGAGAATGAGAGGGACAGAGGCAGCGATGGACAGAAAGAGTAATTCCTGTGCTCAGCGCTCTAGCTACAGCCACTAGGTGTGTATATCACTGTGTATGTGTAGCCAGAAGAGGACTGGGTAACTCTCCAAGTCCCAGGAGGATGGGGGGGGGGGGGGGGGCCCAAGGGGAATGGACTGGCTGAACAACCTCAATCCATTTGCACTACTGATTTCTCACACACTGCAGCAGGCCTGAAGGCAGGCAGGAGTGGGGGGGGGGGCAGGATAAATCAGCCCCCAGAGACATAGAGACTGAATGGAGAGGGGGGAGGGGTGCCTGCACCACAATTTGTGGCCCACTGTGCCAGGCTTGGTGGGGAGGGGTTAGGCAACAGAGGAATAAGAGACAGAGTGGCAGGAGGCAGAGTGGGGGAGGAAATGTTGGATTCAAGCCCACCTGGAACACCTCCTTCCAGCTGGATCTGAGGCTGATTGAAAGAAAGAAGGTGGGGGACAGAAGCACCACGTTTGACTCCATAGGCAGGGCCCTGAACAACTCCAGGGGGCACCATTCACAGTCTTTGTGCAACATGGTGGCCCTGGGGGTGAGACTGAGACCGGAGACTGAGTCCTGAGGGACCGCAACTCTCTCCTGAACTTTCTCCTCCCAAAGCTCAACCAGGTGCTCTGCCCCCAGGCCTTGGAGGAGGGCTCACTTCTGACTTGTGGCTGGAAGCCTCTGGTAATCTACCCACTCTTCTGCCTGTGCCCCTCCTTTCTTGAGGGCACTGGCAAACAACCAGGATGACCTCCGTGGGGCCGGATGGGGGCTCTGGAGAGCCTGCAAAACTCCCGTCCTTGGTCTATCCTTAGCTCATCTCAGGACTGCGGGCAAATCCGGGGCTTCTCTGGGTCTCTAAGGTGGAGTGAGACTGGATGCCCCTTCCCTGAGGTGTCTCTAAGCCCAGACTCGCCAGCCTGTGAGCCTGTTGGCAGATGCCCAGGACCTCGATCCACACCAGTGGCCACAGGCCACCTAAACAAACCCCAACCCTGACCTCCTTCCAGCCTGGACACAGGCTCTCTCCACATAGTGGAGACTTCTAAACAAACCAAGCTGGGGTTTACGGGAGACGGTGCATAAACAAGCAGAGAAGGAAACAACCAGGTCCTCCTTGCTGCAGCAGGGGAGGGAGACACAACCAGGTGTGGTGAGGGACCCTGAAGAGAGAAGATGGGTGCAAGGGGTCCCAGTGCAGCCAGATGACTGCTTGAATGTCCTAGTGCAAGGAATATCCTGCCCCCACCCCAGGCCTGTTTGCTCCTCCACAAGGGGGAGGGATTGTCTAAGTGGTCTTTAATGCCCTTTCAGGGTTCTAAGTCTAGCAGGACAGAGAACCCGCCAAGGGGTGCCCAGTATTCCTCATCCCAGCCCAGCCCATCTACCTGGGTCAGGACCCTCTCTGCCAGACCCTGCCCCAGCCCAATGCGTGCCTCTCTGCCCTGTCTGCTGCCCCTCTGGCTCTTCCTCACTCCTCCGCCTGCCTGCTTACCCTCACCTTGGCCAGCCCCTCTGCTGCCCCGTGCTTTTCTGCACGTCCCTCCTGCCAGGGGACAGACCGACTAAAAATAGTCCCTGCAGCCTTTCTCGCCCACAGCTGCCCAAAGAGCAGGAAATGAGGGGGGGCAGGGAGGCCCGTGTCCTGCTCTCCCCCACAAACTCCCAGCTCCAAACCAAGTCCAGGACTCCAGCCTGGGGAGAGTGCCAACCTGGCCATCTCAGGGGCATCCCACACCCCTTCCCTAGGGGAGAGGCCTGCCCATAAGTGCCTGCCATCCTAGAGCTGTCCCTGCCCTCCGAGAGGAGAGCGGAGGCAAGCAGTCTAGAGGGAAACCTTCCCAATTTCTGACAAATCAGTGCCAACCACATTGTGGGCACCGAGAGGGCAGGGCCTGGCTCCACTGACTGGTCTTTTGAGGGCAGAGGGAATTGGCATGGGGAAGTTTGTGCTGGTTTCCTTCATCCTGGCCCAGCTGGAGAGAAGACAAAATAGTGCCCCAGCCTTAATTATGCTAATCCTCTGCTCCCCAAAATGTGTGGGTACAGACATAGGGGTTTCAATGGCCACCCCCAGATACCATGAGAAAAAAAGCTTGAAAGAATAGCAGAAGATCTGGGCTGCCCACATGTAAAGATGAAAGCCTGGAGGCGAGAACAGGCCATGCCTTCCAGGCAGGGCATGTGTTGCCCCCAAGCTGAGTCAGAGGTTGGGAGGGAGGAGTTGGGGTACACAGTGCCAGGGGCTGTGGTGCCCCCACCCCTATCCCACTTGGGATTCTTGACACCTCCCAGCCCAGGGAGAAGGCCCTCCCCACACAGGAGGAAGGAAACCAGCTTAGCGACTCTCTGGAGGCCTGAAGGACAGCCCTGCACCAGGAGGCAGGCGGGAAACCCAGGAGTCCTGGCGCCCAGCCCAGAGAGTGAATGAGAGAAATACCTTGGAGGGGAGGAAACAGCCCAGAGTGAGGCAGACACATGGTGCCCCCAGCAGCTCCCAGATGTGACCCATAAGGGGGAACTGGCCAAAGGGGCTGGATGGGGAAAGTGAACACATTTCCAAACAAGAAGAGAAGAAAACAGGGCCATGAGAATGGGGGAGGGGGCAGAGCCAGCCTGGCCCTCACCTGCTGTCCTCTCCTCCAGGTCACGGTCAGAGATAGTGTCATTTAGGCCACCAAAGATCAAAGAGGTCCTGGGGTCCTGGGTGGATTCCCCCCTCCCCTAATCTTCATTCCTAGCCTCCTCTGGCACCCCTTCCCCAGGACCAAGCCAAGCCGGGAGTCCGCAGGACCAAGGTGGTGCCTGGGAGGCCTGGACAGTGCCAGGGGCAGCCCTCATACCATCCTCCCACTGGCTTCCCTCCCGCCTGCTCTCAGCCGCCACACATATCTCAGCTGTCCAATCCGATTAGGGCCCCTGTCCAGTGAGCCGGACAAGGAGGCCACTGGGCAGGGGAGAGACGGGGACAAGGACGCTGAGCAGGCATGGCAGAAGGAAGGTGGAGACGGGGCTCAGGGGAGAAGATGTGGAGCCCCAGAGGAAGAAAAGCCTAGTAGAGAGATCTGTCCTCTCTGACCACAGGCTCTCTGGCAACAGCCACCACCGGCATTAGGGTAATTCTGCAGCCCCTAGGGCAATAGCCTGCCTGATTCCACCATCCCCCAGAAGGGCAAGGATTGGGGCGAGGGAAAGCCAAAGCAGAGAGACTGACCTAGATTTAGGAACAGAATCCCATCTTAGAACCCCCACTCCCACCCCAGCGGAAACTACCATTTGCACTGGGTTTTAGAATACACTGTCTTATGGGGCCTTTATGGAGGTGTCCCTATCAGGCAAGCGGGGCTTGCTACCAATAGCCATTTTTATTTTTTATTTTAAAAAAAAATTTTTTTTCAACGTTTTTATTTATTTTTGGGAAAGAGAGAGACAGAGCATGAACGGGGGAGGGGCAGAGAGAGAGGGAGACACAGAATCGGAAACAGGCTCCAGGCTCTGAGCCATCAGCCCAGAGCCCGACGCGGGGCTCGAACTCACGGACCGCGAGATCGTGACCTGGCTGAAGTCGGACGCTCAACCGACTGCGCCACCCAGGCGCCCCATAATAGCCATTTTTTCAAATGAAGAAACTGAGGGAGATAGTCTGAGACATTAGTGTGCTGTCTTCCTTGTATTAGCCTCACTGAAATAAATTCCCTTCTTTGTCAAAGAAAGAAAAAAAGGAAGGAAGGAAGGAAGGAAGGAAGGAAGGAAGGAAGGAAGGAAGGAAAAGAAAGGAAAGAAAGGAAGGAAGGAAGGAAGGAAGGAAGGAAGGAAGGAAGGAAGGAAGGAAG